TGTGCTCCTGCCTCGAGGTTTTTCTTGAGGAAATTAAATTTTTTTTGTTTTTTCGGGGTTTTTTTTGTTTTTTTTTTCCTGATTCTCACCCCAAACTCAGCAATGACCCCATCCAGGGCAGGAACTCACAGGTTTGACCTCGGTCGGGGCAGCAGAACCTGCAGGGATTGTTCTGACACCCAAACTGATCTTTCCTCTTTGGTCCCTTCAAAACATTTAAAAACATCCTGAGTTTCCTTCCCAGATGGCAAAAAGCTGTGTTTGGAAGAGTTTTCCCAGAAAAATCCGGGATTTTCTCGTCTTCCACCTCCAGGATTGATTTCTGCATCGCTCTGGGGTGGATTTTGGATCCCAAATCCACGTTCTGGAGGTTTTCGTATCCCAAATCCACGTTCTGGATGCTTCCCTGACATTTTTTGTATCCCAAATCCAGGTTCTGGGTTTTCTGGATGCTTCCCTGAGATTCCTGCATCCCAAATCCACATTCTGGAGACTTTTGCATCCCAAATCCCAGTTTTTGGTGTTCTGGATCTTTCCCTGAGATTTGTGCATACCAAATCCATGTTCTGGAGATTTTTGCATCCCAAATCCAGGTTCTGGGTTTTCTGGATGCTTCCCTGAGATTTTTTGCATCCCAAATCTGGGTTCTGGGTGTTCCCCTGAGATTCCTGCATCCCAAATCCTGGTTTTGGAGATTTGAGCATCCCAAATCCAACTTTTGGGTGTTCTGGATCTTTCCCTGAGATTTTCTGCATCCCAAATCTGGGTTCTGGATGCTTCCATGAGATTTTTTTGCATCCCAAATCCAGCTTCTGGGTTTTATGGATGCTCCCCTGAGATTTTCGCATCCCAAATCCTCGTTCTGGTTTTTCTGGATCCTTCCCTGAGATTTGTGCATCCCAAATCTGGGTTTTGGGTGTTCTGGATGCTTCCATGAGATTTTTTTGCATCCCAAATCCGGGTTCTGGAGTTTTCTGCATCCCAAATCTGGGTTCTCGATCTTTCCCTGAGATTTTCCTATCCCAAATCCACATTCTGGATCTTTCCCTGATATTTGTGCATCCCAAATCTGGGTTCTGGAGTTTTCTGCATCCCAAATCCGAGTTCTGGGTTTTATGGATGCTTCCCTGAGATTTTCATATCCCAAATCCACTTTCTGGATGTTTCCCTAAGATTTCTGCTTCCCAAATCTGGGTTCTGGGTGTTTCCCTGAGATTTTTGCATCCCAAATCCGGGTTCTGGAGATTTGTGCATCCCAAATCCAAGTTTTGGGTGTTCTGGATGCTTCCCTGAAATTTGTGCATCCCAAATCCACGTTCTGAATGTTTTCATGAGATTTTTTTGCATCCCAAATCCACGTTCTGGAGATTTGTTCATCCCAAATCCACATTCTGGATATTTCTGCATCCCAAATCCAAGTTCTGGGATTTTTGGATCCTTCCCTGAGATTTTTTGCATCCCAAATCTGGGTTCTGGCTGAAATTTGTGCATCCCAAATCCTCATTCTGGTGATTTCTGCATCCCAAATCCTCGTTCTGGACCCTTCCCTGATCCCCTCCTGTGCTGTTTTTTTTCCAGCAATGTCTCCTGGGTGGTCTCTGGCTCCTTTCCAGACGTTTTCCCGTCCCTTCCTTCCCCAGGAATGCCCTGGACGGGATCAGCAGCTCTGCCTTGGCTCCCCCCCAGGTTGGTCCCACCTCCAATTTTTCCATTTTTATCCCAAAAATGTTTTCCAGGCRGAGTTCTGAGCTGGGTGGGGAAGGAAGTGCAAATTTT